CTTTTCTCATTGATATAGTTAACATTAATGTCACAATTCTTTACAAAGATGCTCTCAATGACTTGAAGATAAAGGCAACTATATATGACAAGAATCCAAATGAATTAATATCGGATAATTCTGGTGTCAGCTATGGAAGTGTCAATTCCATTTATTATACATAATTTTGTGAGTTAGGGTTTTTCTTGTTTCTGTGTCAGTGAAAAATATTAAAACTATTTCAGTGCAAAAGATAACAAATACATAATTGATAAAAATTAATACTTTCAAATTGCCAAGCCAAATAATAGCAGTCTTTCATTGACATTTCTTTTTGAGAATTATTAAATTTTACCTTCATTTTATTGAAATATTTTGGATTCATTTCAGTCTTTTCAGAACTTGCCATTAATTTTTAAATTAATTGAGAGTAAGGAAGATCATTCTTTATTAAAATGTCTTTATATATAATATAAATGATGGAAATAATTTTCAAAAATAATAAAATATCTAAGATTTTGTGACAATTGTAATACATAGCTTTTATCAAAAAGGGTTACAACACTCCACAAACCTGGAATAAAAGGAAACCATCTCAACTTAATAAAAGCCATCTATGAAAAACCCTCTGCTAATATCGCCCTCAATGGTGAAGTATTGGAAGCCTTTCCTGTAAGACCAGCAAAAAGACAAGAATGCCCACTTTTATTGCTTCAATTCAGCATAGTTCTGGAAGTTTTAGCCAGTGCCCTTTAGGCAAGAGAAAGAAGTAAAGGCATTCAAACTGTAAAGGAAGAAGTAAAAGTGTCTATCTTCACAGACAACATGATCTTAAATGTAGAAAACCCTAAAGATTCTATTTTTAAAAACCTATTAGGACTAATAAACAAACTCAGCAAAGTTGCAGGATACAAAATTAACACCAAAAAATCAGTCCTGCTTTAATACACTAACAATGAACACTCTGAAAATGAAACAAATGAGCCAACTCCATCAACAATAGTATCAAAAAGAATAAAATACTTAGGAATAAACTAAACCAAGGACACAAAAAGGTTATATATCTAAAACTACAAATCATTGCTGAAAGAAAATTTAAAAGATAGAAATAAATGGAAAAGACATTCTGTGTTCAGGGATTGGAAGATTTAATATTGTTAAGATTTCAATACTACCCATAGTGATCTGCAGATTCAGTGCAATCCCAATTAATACCAGCAATGTTGTTTTTTTTCTTTTTTGCAGAAAAAGGAAAATCCATCCTAAATTTCATGTGGAATCTCACAAATAGCAAAAGCAATCTGGAGAAAGAACAAAGTTAGATATTTCATATTTCCTGATTTCAAAACTTATTAAAAAGCTATAGTAATTAAAAAGTGTGGTATTGACATAAAGACAGACATATAAACTATGACATAGAACAGAGAGCCCATAAATAAATCCTCAAGTATATAGTCAAATGATTTTTGAGAAGAGTGCCAAGACCCTTCAGTGGGGAAAGGACAGTCTTTTCAACAAATGGTCCTGGGAAAATTGGATACATGCAAAAAGAATGAAGTCAGACTCTTTCTTTAGATCATATACAAAAAGTTAGCTTAAAATGGATTAAAACACTAAATGTAAGAGTTAAAACTATAAAACTCTTGGAAAACATAGGAGAAACCTTCATGGTACTATATGGCAATGATTTCTTTGATATTGCACCACCAGCAGAGGCAACAAAAGAAAAAATAGATAAATTGAACTTTATTAAAATGAAAAACTTACATTCATCAAAGGGCACTATCAGCAGAGTGAAAAGGCAATCCATGGAGCAGTAGAAAATATTTTAAATCATATATCTGGTAAGGGATTGATGTTCACAATACAAAAAGAACTACAGTTCAACAACAACAAAAAAAACAAACAACCTGATTAAAAAGTGGATAAAATCCTTGAATAGATATTTCTCTAAAAAGTTATGCAAATGTCCAATAACCACAGGAAAAACATGCTCAACATTACTCTTCATTAGGGAAATGCAAATCAAAACTACAATGAGATACGACTCCACACCCATTAAGATGGCTATTATATAAACAGCAAACAAAAAAAATCTAGAAAACATGTTGAAGATGTAGAGAAATTGGAGCACTTGCACTTTGCTGGTGGGAATGTAAAATCTTGTAGCCACTTTGGAAAACAGATGGTAATTCCTCAAAAAAGTATGATACGACAGTGTCACTTCTTGATAAATACTCAAAAGAAAGGAAAGCAGGGAATTGAACAGGTGTTGTTACAACCATGTTCATAGTAGCATTATTTGCAATAGCCCAAAGCTGAAAGCCACTCAAGTGTCCATTGATAGATGAATGGATAAACAAAATGATTGTGTGTGTGTGTGGGGGGGTGGGTTTGGGTGTGTGAGAGAGAGCCTCAAAAAGGAAGGAACTTCTGATACATGCTACAACATGGATCAACATTGATGATCTTATGCTAAGTAAAATAAGCAAGTCACAAAAGGACAAATACTGTTTGATTCCCCTTTACATGAGTTCCCTGGATTAGTCAAATCCATAGTGACAGTAGGAGGAATAGTGGTTGCCAGGGGTTGCGAATAGGGAGGAATGGAGAAGTGGTATTTAATGGGTACAAAGTTTCAGTTTTGCAAAACGCAAAGAGTTCTGGACATGGATGACAGTGATGGTTGCGTAACAGTGTGAATATACTAAATACCACATTACTATACACTTAAAAATGGGTAAATGGTAAATTGTATGTAATGTATATTTTACCACAGTAAAAAAAAGATAGGACTCATTGTGATGGAGAGACCACCACTGTGCCTCGTGGAACTTTGAGGAGGAAGAGAGATGTGCATTATTAATATGCACTCAGACAAAATTAGTGAAATAGGTATGATTTGCTTTAAATGATTTCTACCTCACTTCTTCCCTTTTCTAGATTTTTCTCAATTTTTACATTGCATTCTATCTTCTAAGGACACTATGTTGTGGTGATTTACCCAGACAATACTTTTCTGAGTTAATCCTGAGTCCTAGATTACTTGAATTTCTTCACTGTTGCCACAATTAAAACTTTATTTTATTCCTTCCATTTTTTAAAAAAAGCGTGCCCAAGATAACTGTCACTTTGGAATGTAATTTAACATCTTCTTTAAAGATTGAATCTATGAGGAGTTCTGAAGTGATTCTTTAATGAAAGAATCTGACAGCACGGAAGCCAGTTCAGGACACATGTGTTCCTTCCTAGCTACCTTCAAAACACGGCACGGAGGCATACTCCTTCTTTTGCAATCTGATCTTTGGGATGATAAAATTGAAAACAAAATGAAGAGTTTCACAAGTTCAAAAAGCTCAGGAACTTGGATTCTACTGATAAATCCGCATATATCACTCCTAATTGTTCGCTATATTGTCCAACTGTGGCATTACTTCATACAATTCAGTGATGGCTGTAATCTACATGTTAACAGATTTTATTATAGCAAAGAGTTTCATATTTGAATGTGGATGTGTGGCATATGAAATTAAAAGGTAAACCAGCCACAGTTTAAGGAAAATTATTCGAATGCTTTAAAATGTACCATTCACTATTGGGGGAAAATGAATACTTAGAAAAGTTTCTGATGCATTTTTAAATACTCCAGCAGTTATTAGAAGTTCATGATTGCTTTTTTTAAAATAAGAATTAGCTGAAAATGTGTGTTCATTAGATGCATTTTATAACAAAAAGAACTCCTGTTGAGACTATTTAGATGGAAAAGTGTTTTATTTAGCTATTTTTTCTAGTTCCAACAATTCCAGAAATTATCACCATTATCTTGCGTATTAAAAAGAGCAAAGAACGTTGTGAACAGGCATAAACTACATAATTGTATTGCAATATAATTTCTTGGTATTTAAAAAATGTTTGACCAAGTATGTGTGAATATGTATATATTTCATACACATAATTGCTGAAATGTGGTGATAAAATAGTTTAGAATATTTTATAATCACAGATCATTGTAAAAATTGCTGGTAACTAAAACTTGAAAATGGATGCATATTTCTATAAATAGATGCATAGCTAATTGAATCACACATACAAATGTATACAAGTGACTATATAATTTTGTTCTTTTTTTGTTCAATTGGATTTTCTGCATAAGTAGAGGACTATAATGTAATAATTGGGATATTCTAGCTGTTGTAAATTTTTCAAAGGCCTTAAGGAGATTATGAATTTAACCATAATATGATTCATAGACTAATAAAATTGCTTTTGAATAGAATGACATCACCTCTGTCTGAAAATACTGGTTTTCTTAGGCTGACTAGGAGTTCTGACAGATCTTTAATTCTAGGTCTTTGATAAACATGGGAGGGTGGATTAACCGTTAAGCCTCAGAGAAGAGCTTTAAGAGCTACAGTTCTGGAGTCAAAAAAGGCTTGTGCTGTAATCTTGACCCCAGCATTCACTACCTGGTCTATCTTGGACAAGTTTCTTATTAATGTATATAAGGTATCGCCGAAGTTTTCTCATTTTTAAAATGGAGGAAATGCCTGTTTCATGGGTTTGTTGCAAGAAACAAACTACTGAAACTGGAATGCCTAGCATAGAACAGTTACCTCAATGAATAAGGTTTCTTGTTATTATTACAGGATATATCTGGTTGGCAAAATCTTTTAAAATAGAAGATCTAGGAGTAAAATTAATAAAGCAGAACATTGGTAATGAAGACTTTATAGCCGTGGGTTCAATATCTGTGAATTCAATCAATTGCATACAATAAAAGCTTTTTCTGACCCCTGTGGTGTGGCATTCTTTCAATTTGAGCACATTGGTTTCTGTTGTGGTAATTTATTAGAATTTCAGATGCAAAAAAGCTTTATATTATAAAGTAGCCTTGGAATTATGAAAATAATCCTTATGTTAATCTGTTTGTCATTTGTTGCTAATCTTTCTTTATCTACTATTGTCATTTCTTAAGAAACCAAATGAGGTTGTGAAAACTAATTTCTTTTTTCTCTCATTAGGCTCGAATTATGAAAGATGTGATTTTGAGAATGGGCTCTGTAGTATGGCTCAAGATCAGAGTCAGCAACTTCGTTGGGCAAGGAGAAATGGGATGACCAGTCTATCACCTCCATTTTATGATCACAATGGTGATATATCTGGTAAATGCTTTGCATCTATTTTCTTCCTCCCTTCCTCCCTTTTCCCTTCCTTTCATCCTCCCTTCTTTCCTTCTTGCCTTTTTTCCTTCTTAACCACAAGTGTTTGATTAGGGAAGTAGAATCTTATCTAATATTTACATGTTAATAATTATAATGCCTAATTTTATACATTCTTTAACTATCTTTAAAATACTTACCATTCTAAAATATCACATCAGATTCTCATATATGGGTTTCTAGGATTCCAACAGGTCTATTTAGATAATAATTGGGATTTTCCAGCTCTTTGGGCTCTTTATGGAAATTGTAAACTATAGTACTACATAGATTAGTTAGACAGTCAAATTACTTTGTTTTTGGCTAGACTGATTGCAAATCTGTCTAATAACACTTGTTTAATAAGGCTGATATAGAAACCTCTTAAGGGTAGAAACCTCTTAAGGGCATCTCAGTAGTCTTTGAGGTGACTCTCAAACATTTATCTGTTTTGTTATTTATTAACTAATGAACTTTATTCATTCAACATTGTGCACCAGGTGATTAAGATATATTAATGAGTAAAAATTGACTCCATGCTTGCTCATATTGGATGGGTTTACACATTGTCTGGCATAACTGAAGGTTGGTTATTTTTGTAAAAGTGATATGTCCCTCAAATAAATTCAATTAAATGTTAAAATATTGTTACTGCCCCAGAGATAATTTAAAGCAAGCCAGTGTTTGAGCATTGGATGTTAGTTTGAAAATGTTTACATAAATATTACACATGTGGGTTAGAATCCTGAATCTGTCACTCTGTAGCTGTAAGACCTTGAGAAATTTACTTTTTTGAGCCTCAGTTTTCATAACTTTAAGAGGGGGAAATAATGACGCTAAGTTCATAGGATAGGTTTTCTTTAAGAACCAAATGAGATACTGTTAGTAAAGCTTATCCTAGAATAATTGGCACTCAAAAATAGTAGATGTTCAGCACATTTCTGACTAATTTTGGTGTTGTTAGCTTTAACTATCATATAGGTAAAATGGAGTTTCTTATTTTGCTTGGCTTTGGTGTAAAAAAGTATTTTTTAAATAATTTTTAATAGTAGTTAGGAATCAGCCAATTTTATCACCAAAAAGGGGCCAGCTTCACAAGTAGGACCAACCAATAACCACAATGAAGGGAACTTTTATTAAGGCCTTAGTTATATTAGATGATGATATTGAATCTAGCTCCCAATCTTCAGCCATTGCAGTCCTGTGAGTTGTTGATTCCATGCATCAATGTCATATAGGCAGATATCATTCAACTATATTATCTAGGTTGATTTGAAATCCCTGGAGTCAGATTAGATGGGTTTAAATCCTGGCTCCATCAGTCAGCTACCTATGTGGTTTCAGTTTCCTTATCTGTAAAATGGGGATAATAATAATACAAGCTGCATAGGAAAAATAGGCAAAATATTGCCTGATTTGGCTAATTGAAGGCTGGTGATTTTTTAATAGTCATGCGTCTCTTATAAATATAAGTTAAAATATAGATTTCATGGCAATAATTTAAGTAGACAGATGTTCTAGCTATAGATATTGGCTGTTTGAAAATATTTGCCAAATAATAGTTTTTGAATCTTGTCTTCGTTCAAAAATCCTTATTTCTTAAGCATTAAGAAATTTTTTTTTTTTTTTTTTTTGAGACAGAGTCTCACTTTCTTGCCTAGGCTAGAGTGAGTGCCGTGGCGTCAGCCTAGCTCACAGCAACCTCAAACTCCTGGGCTTAAGCAATCCTACTGCCTCAGCCTCCCGAGTTGCTGGGACTACAGGCATGAGCCACCATGCCCGGCTAATTTTTTATATATATATATTAGTTGGCCAATTAATTTCTTTCTATTTTTATAGTAGAGACGGGGTCTCACTCAGGCTGGTTTTGAACTCCTGACCTTGAGCAATCCGCCCGCCTTGGCCTCCCAGAGTGCTAGGATTACAAGCGTGAGCCACCGCGCCCGGCCAAGAAAATTTTTGATTAACTCACTCTTGAAATAATTTGCCAGTGCTCTAAAATTGTATTTTTCATCATGTAATCAATGCCTTGAGAATTTTTTTAAAGGTAAGTTTGAAAATCTATCAAAACATTAAAAACATCATGTCAATATTTGAAATGTAATAAAGCTTGGGGGAGGAGTGATTAAAATATAGTTCTGGTTTTTAAAAGATGTAGCATTGCATGCAGATAAAATAGTACCACTACAACAAATTCAAATACATCTTTGTAATGATAGTAAAGATATTTTTAAAAATGAGAGCAAGAACATAAATGTTTTAAATAATTCTGACATTAAAGGTGATATGGAGGTTTTTAAAATGTGTAATTCATTGTAAATCTAAAATGTATAGGCTATCAAAGATAAAATAATAATTTATTTGAAAATGTAACATTTCCCTTCATGCCACAGATCTTTATTTTTTTATTTGGATATTTAAAATTAGTTTCAAATGAGAATATTAGAGCTTTCATAATTCTGATCAATTGTTAAATCACATTTAAAATTCATATATTATATTATAAAATACACTACTAAACAGCATCCAGTATTTTTATTTTGTTCTGTAGTGGTCACATGTATTATGTCTATAATCTATACATATTAGAAATCCCACAAATAAAAGTTAGAGTTTTTGCTTTAGACAGTATTAAAAATAAACTGAGAAGAAATATTTATTATTTGCAATGCTCTTCATTCCTTTTGACTATCTGAGTTTGTTTCTGGTATCATTTCTTTTGAGCTTGAAGAATTTCCTTTAGTATTTTTTGTAGTGCAGCTCTGCTGGTGATAAATTATGTTAGTTTTTCCTTCCTGAAAATGTTTTTATTGTGCCTTCATTCTTAAAATATATTCTCACTGGATATGGAATTTTTCATAGTCCTTTTTTTTTCTGTTAGTGCTTTAAAGATATTATTTCACTGCCTTCTGGCCTCCCTAGTTTCTTATGTGATGGTCAGAGTTTCAGTTATTTTTCCTGTATGTAATATAATATATCTTTACTGTTTTGATGCTTCCAAAATTTGGTCTTTATTTTTGTTTTCAGCCAGAAATTTTAAAATTTTATCTTATTTGGACTAATTAAGCTCCTTCAATCTGAAATATGTGTTTTCTGACAATTTTGGTAAATATTCTACTCTTATTTATTCAGGTATTTTTCCTGCCCTATTTTTCTCTCTCCTTTCCCTTTGTAGTTCAATCATCAATATTGGACTATGAGTCAAACATATTATTAGATGCAGTCTTACCATATATTTTGATTTTGTCTTCTCTCTATTTTTCAGAGTGCATAATTGTAGCTAATCTATCTATAAGTCAAATAATTCTTTCCTTTGTCATTTCATTAGGCTGATAAGACCATCTGGTGATTAAAAATAAATCAGATACAGATGCTCCTAGACTTACGGTGGGGTTGTGTCTCAATAAACCCATTATAAGTTGAAAGTATCATAAGTTGAAAATGCATTTAATACACCTAAGCTACTGAACATCACAGCTTAACCTAGCCTGCCTTAAACGTGTTCAGAGTACTTACATGGTAGAACATCACCCAGGTCTCCAACTGGCACCTGGGTGGCATACCTAGAAAATATATCTCAATAGTACTGCAAAGAATTTAAAAACAGAACTGACATGGAAACCTACATTAGCCTACAGATAGGCAAAATCACCTTACACAAAGCCTATTTTATAACAGTGTTGATTATCTCATGTAATTTATTGCATACTGTACTGAAAGTGAAAAACAGAATGGTTGTATTTTGAATGCACACTACTTTTACACCATCATAAAGTCAAAAAAATACTAAATTGAACCATCATAAGTTGGGAATCATCTGTATTGTATTTTTCAATTCTAAAATATTTAATTGGTGTTTTAAATTTGTTTTTAAATTTTATCTGCTAAAATTCTTGATTTTTTTTCATTCATTATAAGAATATTTTCCTTTATTACTTCATTGTGCATAATTAGAATAGGGGTTTTAAAAGCCTTGTCTGCATTGTCTTAGATTTGCCCTCTGTTGTCTTTTCCCGTGACATGCATGATCACATAGTCCTAATTCTTTGTCTGTCAAATAATTTGGGGTCACATCCTGGGTGTTGTGAATGTTAATATTGTGGAGGCTCTGGATTCTGTTATATTCTTTTTCAGAGAGTGGCGATGATTCGTTCAAGCAGGTGATTAACTTGCATAGACTCAAGTAACAAACTCATGTTTGCTGTGGGCAGAAGTTCAAATATCATTTTTGCTCTTCTTGACTTAGGTGCTAGAAGTGCTGCCTGCACATGCATGTTTCAGTTTTAGCTAGAGATTTGGATGGATATTATTCATAGACTATTGCAGCACCCCTTTTCTTGCTCTTTTCCTTCTAGAATTCTTTCCTTTCTTTCTGTCAGATCTGGCTATTCCAGACTCTCCTTCCTCCTTCCTCAGGCCAAGGAGACAACAACCTTTCTATCAGAATTTAACCATACACACCAGCTGCAACTACCACCAGACCCCAGGAATTTAATTTTTTCTGATCCCTTCTTCCTACTTTCTACTCTCTTAAGAATATGCCTCTTATTGGAAAAAAAAAAAAGAATATGCCTGTTTTTTTTTTTTCAATCTTTAAGGCCTCCCAAGCCCCAGTTTTTAGATTTTTTTAATGCAATTGTTAATGTCCATCACTGAGTTTTCCATCTAAGTGAACATGAACACCTCCTACACTGCTCTATGCTGCCCTTTCTGAAGGGCACCAGAACCGTAATCCATTCCTTAGCAGTAGACAGGTTGCATTATATAGACAGTGAGTTGGATTTCATTAAGAAACAGTCAAAAACCAAAAATAGAGGAAAGAATCCCACTTCCTCACTCTCTAAATTATGTTTTTGCAGCCTTTATAGTGTGAACATCTGTTTATTTTTAAATCTGCAAAAAATTAATGTTCATTTATTCCTTTCTATATTTGTAGTTTCAAAAACTTTTTCTTGGCATCTGTA